CTGAACAAATCAACCAACACAGAAGAATTTGAAATTTTAAGAGGGGTGTGATAGGGGTGTATTTGGTCTTCTATGCTCTTCAATCTTGTTAAACTGTAATATTTTGTTATCTAATTCTTATCTATTGTTTATCTATCTGTCTTTGATCTGCACTTTTCTATCATCACCTTAGTCACCCCAAATGAAGCCCCTGACTTGAGTAATGCAATCTTCGTTAAGTATTGGCGAATGAGAAGCTTTTTGTTATCTAATTTTGTCAGCTTTTTCGTTACAATGTTCGTATCTCGTAAAGGATCTGAGAAAATTTGTTTTGAAAATATGCATCGTTTGTCTTTCTAATCTGCACTACTACCTTAAATTTTCTCTATCGTATTAAAGATAAGTCAAGAGATTATTTAAATTTTTCAAATATATATTATATAGAATAACAGCTGAACGATCCAGATTACAAATTTTTTAACACTTACTCAAGATTATCAGATAAGATATAGAAGTATCCGGCCACTTTGCATTTATTCAAGTCAACAACAAATGTGATTTTTATTACAAGGCAGTTTTTTAAAACTGAAAATGAAGAAATATACGTTTTATGGGTATTATTAATTAAGGACTCTAAAAATTGGTATTTGGAACACTCAAGGCATGACTCACAAAACAATGGAAATTTTATCTGAAATGACGAAGCAAAAAAATGGACATCACAGTGCTCTCTGAAACCAAAAAGAAAGGCCAAGGAAATGAACAGATTAAAGACTACTGTTATAATTTAAGTTAGGTGAAGTCCTCCTTCAAGTTTGAAGACATCAAGAGACAAGGAAATATGTACTTTAGGAAATATGCACCAATAAACATCTGGCCATCGAAAATTATACTTTATTCCTTTTTACATACAGAACAATACAAAACTTGACTGACAGTAGTTTATAACTTATTTTTGACATTACTTATTGAACTGTCAACAATGTCACACTTTTTATGTTGGATATTCTAACACTCTTCCTCAACATGAAAACTACATAAGTTAAATAATAGACCTTAATAAAATAATCATTATTTTAAATTCAAATTCTCACAGATTCACTGCAATTTCTTTGAATTTAACGACTTGGTCAACATATCAGCCACCATTTCATTCGTCGACATATATTTTAATTGAATATCATTGTTAGCTACTTTTTCACGAATAAAATGATACTTGATATGAATATGTTTCGTTCTCTATCATATACTTGATTTTCCGATAATTTTACGACACTTTGATTATCATTAAATATAACCATCGGAAAACCTTCAAAAAAAACTTACAATTCACATTGTTTTCAAATATTTCTTTACATAAATATGTTAAGTTTAACGATTCTTTTGCTGCCTCAGTTATGACAATATATTCAGCTTCAGTTGAACTTAAAGAAAAAATTCGTTGCTTTTGACGTTCCCATGAGATAGGACCACCAGCCAACGAAAAAATAAATCCATAAAATGACTTTCTATCTGAACTGTTATTGGCCCAATCTGAGTCAACAAAGCCACTTAAACTAACATTTGAGACTTTCTGTAATTAATTCCTACAGTTCTTGAATCTTTTAGGTATCTCAAAACACGTTTGGCTGATAACCAATGTTCTTTCGTAGGAATCTTATTAAACTGACTAAAATAAGTGACAGAGAAAGCTATGTCAGGCCTTGAACAAACCGCTAAATTCATCATCGAACCAATAAATTCTTAATAAGGACATTCATACAAAGTTCCTTCATTAGAAAGCTTAACATTCGGTTCTAAAGGAGTATTTACAAGGCTAAAATTAGTCATTTCAAATCGTTCAAGTATTTTATCAATATACTGTTCTTGACTTAATTTCAATTCAAACTCTGACCCACTTCTCTCTACCTTCATACCCAAACAATGTGTAATTGGACCCAAATCCTTAATATGAAAGTTTTTATCTAATTCATTTTTCAAAACTTTAACCTTATCATGATTATTGTAAAAAACAAAAAAATCATCTAAATAGAGTGCTACAATAAGGATTGAATTCTCACTATTTTTAACAAAAATACATGGTTCAATTTCACATTGTTTAAAATTCAAATTTAACAAAATTTGGTATGCCCTTTTATACCACAATCTCGAAGACTATTTGAGACCATATATAGCTCTCCTGAGCAGACAGACTTTATTTTCTAAGTCTGGTTCATCAAAACCTTCAGGTTAAGCCATATATATGGTTTCATTAATCTCGCCATTCAGGAATGCTGTCTTCATATCTAAATGAACTGTATCTAGATTTAATTTAACAGTCATCGCTAACAAAAACCTAAAATTACTAAAACGAATGACTGAAGAATACATTTATGAATGGTCAACCCCATATTTTTGTGTAAAACCCTTTGCCACCAATCTTGTCCTGTACCTTACTATTTCACTCTTTTCATTTTTCTTTATTTTAAACACCCATTTATTCTAAACAATATTTGTATTTGCAGGTTTATTAACCATAGCCAATAACCATATAACCAATTTCCAAGTATTATTGATTCTGAGAGCTGTCAATTCATTCTGAATGGCTAATTTCCATTCATGGCTGTGACTACTTGACAGTGCCTCAGAAAGACTTGTAGGCTCAAATTCATTTATCATAGTAAACATGGCAAGATCAGGTGCATTTTTCAGATCTTTATCTAACAAAAAAATCATTATACAATTTTGGTTTATTTGTTAACATGTGTAGGGTAAGGTTTAGATTCTTGAACACTATCACTATTTATTTCTTCTCTATTTACTTCTTGTTTTTCACTCGCACTTTCTTCTACACTTTTTATATTCTCAGATTCTTGTTAACGTGAACATAACATTCGGTGCCAAATGTTCTTAAATGTTTCAAACTTTCAATTGGCTTTCCATACCACAATTTATAGGGACTTTTACTTTCAATTGATGACTTTCCTGTGCGATTTAGAATGTACACTGCAATATTGCATGCTTCTGCCCACAATTGTTTGGACAACTTACATGTGTTTAATATGGAACGTGCGCACTATAGAATGGTGCGGTTTTCCCTTTCAGCAACACCATTCTGCTGAGGTGTATAGGGTGGAGTGATACAATGCTCTATACCTCTCTTCGCAAGAAGTTCAGATACCTTTCTATTGTCAAACTCTCTCCCTCCATCGCATCTCAGTTACTTTACTACATGACCATTTGTACTAGCTTCATTTAAAACTTGTTCTAAGAAAGTATATATCTCACTTTTGTGTTTCATAAAGAAAACTTTCCGAAACTTACTTTAAAGTCATCTTTAAAACATACTTAATAACGAGCTTCTCCCAGTGATTTTATAGACATGGGCCCATTCACCTCTGCATGGATCTGTTCACCAGTGACTTGTGGTTGATTGATCCTAGATTTGAATCGCAATCTATGCATTTTTCCAATTGCACATCCATCGCAAAAGCTTTCTTTGCACCCATCAATGTCTATATTCATTTTCTTTAATACCTTCTTTACATGTTGCTTATGTTGATGACCAAATTTTTCATGGTACACTTGCAACATATCTGTTAACTCTGCTAAGTTTACTTAAACGGGATTTGTCGGTTTCATAACACGTATATCAAGTGCATACAGGCCATTACTTAAGTAACCCAGTCATTACAGATTCAAAAGTGTTTTTATCATATATATTTACATCTTTTTCATCAAGTACTGTAATAAAACCCCTTTGTGCGGCAGCTTTTACAGAAAACAAATGAGCACTTGCTTCAGGAACATAAAAAACATTCTTCCAGTCAGCACCTTGTCATTTATTATTCAGATGCGTTTGAATTTTCACTGTTCCTTGTCCATGGGCTAACATACATACATCTTTCTTACCAAATGATATACTTTCTGGTTCAGCAAATTCTGTATAAGATGAGAAATATTGCTTATCTGTAGTGATATGATTTGTGGCTCCACTGTCACAATACCATTTTCTAGCTTCAATACAATTGCTAGATGAAGCACTTAAAACAACAGACAAAAAAACAGTATCATTACTTTTATTCTTACCTAAATTCTCAGCTGATTTTTTTAACAAGACAACGGAAGAATTAAAAAAAAACCTTAAAATCCATAAACAAGAAACAGATATACAGTTAACAGCTCCTTCCCCCTCCTGCACTCTCTAGTTTCAAATTTCAAATTTTGAGGACCACAATTTTGAAGCTTTGTGAACGATTTTAATAAAATGCAATCTTTTTTGAATTTTTCACACTAAAACCTTAAAGAATGTTCTTTCAGATGGTCCTAGTAAGGTCTCTTAATTGTTATAAGCAAAGCTGCTCTCAATTTATACATAAAGGCACCAACTTCGTCCCAAAGTGTCCTAGGTCACCTTTTTTCCTTTTAAATTTGGAAAAAAATTCAGGCTGTCAATATGAAAAAATCAGTTTTTTGCAGTCAATCGTTAAAAAGTTACTCTAATTGTTTATAAAAAAAATTGACATGTTTTTGACAGATTATTTTGCAATATTTAAAATTATTTTTTCTCATTTTTTTAGTGACTGAGTTTGCTTACTCAGTTACAAAACCAATCTCCAAATCAAAATAACAGGAATGATTAGCGATGTTGTTATGGACTTCCTTGAAAGTAATAAAGAAATAATTTCTATTAAACCAAAAACACAATGCAGAAGAAAAATTAATTTGTGTATAAGAAAAGTATTAGTTAGAGGATTTAGAAATTGTCAATGCAAATGCTTTCAATAAAATCATTAAGAGTGTCTGTGTACATGGCCCATTTGAAAATGAACCTAAACTCAAACAAAACCATGCGAGTTTTACGTAAAAATTTTAATAGTTCTACAAAGTCACCCGATTTTACGGCATGTTTACAAAAAATGCACATATAATTACGCGTATTTAAATTTGCCGATTTATAGCTTATACAATGTCGCGATAATTGCATCTTTTATTTTTTATACCTAGGTAGATACATGTTTATAGTAAAAATATACATTTACCTGTGCAATTTTGGCTCCCTGCAATTTCATCTTTTCAAAAAACACATGTCCAATACCACCCAGTCCTTCGAAATTATAGTTGACATCTTCGGTTTTGATTATATTTTCTTCAATCCAATAATGGGCCATTTCGCTTGTGGTCGTACCGCACGCCGCAACAACTTCGATGTATTTGTGCAGCGATTCCAATTCCTTAGCTCGTAAACTTGGATGTTCATTTAACCTTGAATATTTAATTATTATTTGCCGCTAATGAATACAGTGTCAGAAAAATGTGTGATAAAATTAAGAAGATAATGAGAGATAAGATGCATGTTTAAAAACTTGTTGAACTTCGCGTTAACGCGTAATAGTTCAAATACGGGTGGTACTGTCACAATTTGGAACAAAAACTATATCAAACTGTTATGAAAGTACCTTTAGAAAAGAGGCCACTATGTTTTATGTTATGTGAGGTCTCATTCTATCATGATTAAGAAAAAGTATTAGCACCTACAAAGAAACACAATCTCAATATTATCATGAGAGATTTTAATGCAAAGATTGGCGATGGTGCACAGGAAGATATCATAGGAAAATATGGTCTGAGAATACGAAATGAAAGAGGAGATATGTAGGCATATTTTTGCGTAGAAAAGCAATTAGTAATAACAAACACAATTTTCAAACTTCCAAAACAAGTCTTTACACCTGGAAATCACCAGCAGATACATCTGAACGAGTTGTTCGTAACCAAATAGGCTTCATATGTATAAATAATAGATACAGAAATTCAGTATTAGCTTCTTCTTCTTCTGGTTCCTATCCGTTTCGGATGTTGGAAATCATATTGGCAATCAAAGCCACATCTCAAATGCTTCAAGTTTTTTAGTAGTGATGTCTGTAAGCGTCCATGCCCCCGCCCCGTACAACAACACAGAGAAAACATAGCATCTCAAATGTTATTTTTGTATCAAGGGATATGTTGTGACTTTTGAAGATGGCGCTCATTTTGTTAAAGAATGTTCTTGCCTTTCCTATGGGGCACTTTATTTCCTGTAAATTGCTCCACTGTTCGTTAATAATAGTTCCCAGGTAACAATACTGTTTTACTCGCTCTATCTGCGTCCCATTAATGTATAGATGAGCCCCGTTTATATTCTCCTTGCTGATAATCATTTGTTTCGTTTTGTGGATATTAATGTTTAGTCCGTACTGTTGACTGTATTCGTTTATTCTGTCCATTAGCCTCTGAAGTCCCTCTAAACTATCTGCTATCACCATGGTGTCGTTGGCATATCTAACATTGTTTACTCTTTCATCTTACATCCCTGTCTAACTCCACGTAGTATTTTTATGTAATCTGTTTCTTCTCTGTTAATTTTCATGTATGCGGTCTGATTCCAGTAGAGTTCTGAAATTATTGTGAGGTCTTTGTCATCCAGGTCTGCCTCTTTTAAAATGTTTATCATCTTTTGATGTTGAACTGTGTCAAATGCATTTTCATAGTCGATCAAGCACGCCTATACGTCGCAGTTAACGTCCCTGCATCTTTGAATCAGTACCTGTACTCCGAAAAGTGCCTCTCTGGTACCCACTGCTTTAATGAAGCCGAACTGTCTGTCCGATATTTGTTCCTCGCACTTCTTATAATTTCTTCCATGGATGACTCTAAGAAACAGTTTCAACATATGGCTCATTAGGCTGATTGTTCGATATTCTTCTCATTTTTTAGCCCCCTGTTTTTTAGGTATCGCTATGAATTCTGATTCTAACCATTTATCAGGGATGATTCCTGTATTGTATATTTTATTGAAGACAGTCGTGATCCAAAATTATTCCTTCGTCCTCCAAGAGTTTTAAAAATTCAGCTTCGATATTATCAGGCCCTACAGCTTTCCTGCTTTTCATCCGTTTTATTGCTTCTTCTACGTCGGATTTAAGTATGTCCGGGCCCGTCATCCTCTCTGAAAATGGATGCCTATAATCCGTTCTTTGATCTTGAAAAAGTTTTTCCAAATATATTCTCCATTTGTCTTTCATCTCTTGGGTGTCAATGATTAATTTTCCATTGGTGGCTATGAGTTTTATTTGTGTTCGCTTTTTAAAAGTACCCGTTATTTCTTTTACCTTTTTGTGTACATTAAAATTGTCATGCTTGGCTTGTAGTCTTTCTATTTCTGTACATTTCTCTACAGCTTCTTTTTCTTTAGCTTCTCTTATTTTTTTCTGATGTAAGCCTGCATTTTTTTATACTCATCTTTATTTCCTTTAATTAACCTTCTGCGTTCCATTAAGTGAAGGATTTCTGGAGTCATCCAAGATTTCTTCTTTGTTTCTTTGTTTGGTTTTAGCAGATCTTGTTTAGTTTTCTTAATTATTTCTTCGAATTGATGATTGATTTCCCGTTGGATGTTATTTTCTTCTTTTAGTTGTTTAACTTGATTGTTAATATATTCCCCCACTTGCTTTTTAACTTCCGGATGTTGCAGGACTGTCATATCGTAGTTAGGTCTAGACTTTTTCTTTATTGTCTTCAGTCTCACATCCATGACTCCCACTTAAGGTATGTGGTCAGATTCAATGTCCGCTCCTGGATATGTTTTGACAGATTTAAAACTGTTTCTGAATCTTCTATTTACCAATATATAATCTATCTGGTTTCTAATTACGTTATGGGGTTTATCTGCTGGTGCCTTCCACGTATACAATCTCCTCGGTGGTAGTTCATAAAATGTGTTCAGAACCACTAGTTTGTTATCTTCTGCCAATATTTCTAGTCTGTCACCTCTTTCGTTTCTTTGTCCTAACCCAAAAGGTCAGATTAGAGACGTTTTCCATTCGGCCCCAAGTTTTGCATTGAAATCCCCCATTGTGATGCTGACTTCATGTTTAGGTATTCGTTCTAATATGCTTATATCTCTGCTAATATCTCTATGCTTTGGTAGAGAGTCTCTACTTCCTCGTCGTCTTTATCTGCAGTGGGAGCGTATATTTGTATTATGTTTACAGTATTAGCAGTAAAAACATATCCAGGCGCAGATGTACCAACATATCACAATATTTTAGTAGGAAAAATAAGACTGAGATTAAAAAGAGTTGCAAGGACGAATTACCAAACAGTTACTATTAATAGAGAAAAAATGTTAAATGATACTGTAAAACAAGAAATAACTAGTATATTAGAACAAAAAATGAAGTTAACATCAAGCAAAGGAGAAAGTACTAAGGAAAACTGGACGAAAAATAAAGACATCTAAAAGAACACAGAAGTTAAAACACTTCACAATTGTGTATTTTGAAAAACATACAAGTACTTAAAAACTTTTTAAAAGTGTCGTCAACATTTAAAATTATGACAGAACGTTTTCAATCTATACAGATCATTTTCAGTGCCTTTGGTATTTGGTGCTAACAATATGGTGTCTATAAGACTTCCATGTGTTGGTTTAAAAATTTATCACATTTTACATTTAATAATGTTGAGAGTCTAGGTCGATGACAATGAAATTGGTTTTAAATTAAAATTTACTATAGGGACTACATGTCTCTTAAGCTCGAATACTTGCACGTGGTACTTGTCAGTTGAAACGACATCTAAAAGACTGTTTCAGAAACAAAATTGAGTCCGCTAAAAGCAAGAAAAAACAAGGGTGGATGACAGAAGAAGTACTGAGACTTATGGATCAAAGAAGAGAAGTCACAAATAAAGATAAAAATGAATACAAGAGGATCGTCGCAATAATCAGGCAGAAGATAAGACACGCGAAAACACAATTTCATAGTGAAGAATGTAATGAAATTAAACAATATGAAAAGAAACACGATACATTTCATCTGCACAAGAAATTAAAATAGGTCGCTGGAAGCAAACGGAAACAAGTATCCCAAAGTTTAGAAGACAGGAACGGACACAGAATATTAGACATCAATGAATAGTTAAAAGAATGGAAAAACTACATTTCTGAATTATTTGAAGATGAGAGAGTAGAACACTATACACCGATTTCTATATCAGGTCAGAAGAAGAGGTCATCTGTTTCATGTCAATTGTGAGGGGTCAATAAATAAGTTAGTTAACCTCTTCTTCTTCTAGTTCCTTGACCGTTATCGATCGTTGGATATCATGTTGGCTACCATATTCGCTATCGTGACTTTATTGACAGCAGCTCTAAATAACGATGTAGTTGATTTTCCATACCATTGCCTTAGATTTTTCAGCCATGATGTTCTTCTTCTACCAGGACTACGATTACCTTGGATCTTTCCTTGAATGATCAGATGTAAAATATCATATTTTTCAGGGTGTCTCATAATTATATTTTTGTATTTCTATTATTCTTTATTATATTGACCAGTTGTGTTGTTTGGTTCAGCTGTCTAAGGACCTCCTCATTTCTAACTCTATCGATCCAGCTTATTTCCAGTAGTCGTCTGTATACCCACATCTCGTAGGCTGTCAAGCGTTTAAGGATAGCCTCAGTTAGAGTCCACACTTCTACTCCATACAGCAGGACAGGAAAGATGTAACACGACGTCAATTCAAAGGTCAATGCTACGATCGTGACTGCAAAGTACGTTTCTCATTTTTACAAAGGCAGCTCGGGCTTGTTCTATTCGGCTTTTAATTTCTGCGGTTGGATTCCAGCTCCCATTGATATTACTGCCGAGATACACGAGTTTCTCTACTCTGTTCAGTGTGGCATCTCCGACTTTTATACCGTCATTCTGTATATAATTTTGTTTGCTAACTATCATATCTGGTTTATTTTGTTCATTAGATTTTACAGGTCTTCTCCGCAATTAGCAAGCACTAAGGTATCGTCGGCATGTCTATATGTCCATGTCTAAGTTAAGGATTTAAGGATTTTATTTTCATCAAAAGGGGTGCTTGTAAGGGTTGAAAAAGTAGGCTCCACTTATGAGTAAAAAATTAATTTTTGTCTACAAACAATGCACTCTAAAAGTGTTTCAAATCATTAAAAATATTTTTAATTCATTTTTGACAAAGGGGGTGTTTGTGATGGTTGAAATGTTGAAATTAAAATAAAATGTTATTTTATAAGCAAAAAATAAATTTTTGTTTAATAAAATGCACTCAAGACATGTTTCAGACCAATAAAAATATATTAAATTAATTTTTTAAAAACTGGTTGATTGTGAGGGTTAAAATGTTGAAATTATAATAAAAAGTTATTTTATATGCAAAAAAATAATTTTCGTTAAATAAAATGACGCAAGAAA